ACTGTCGGTTTTCGGGTGGTCGGGCTGAGGGTTTACAGAGGGGTGTAGGGTTGGAGGGTTTAGCGGCAGGGTTTTAACAATTGGATGTCTTTCTGAGTTCAGGCATTTGGGATGTAGGAGCTTTGGGTGTAAGGTTTGGTTTGCGAGTGGATTACGGGATGTAGGAGGTGGGTCAGATTACTATTCACCAGTGGAGCTCGGTTTTTGCACGGCTTTCATGGGGGTAATCCGGTGTTACATCATCGATGCTCAGAGCTAAGAGCAGCTTCCAACTGAAACTGAGTGGCCTAAGCCCTTCATCGGGGGGTGTGGGGCTGGGTTTCTAGGGCTCCGGATTTAGACCTGTAACTTTCGGGCTTCTCCGGGTGTTTTGTCGACAAAAAGGGTTACAGAATCCGTGCAGAGCTCTGGCAAAACCATTTCAACAACTTCTAGAACCCTTACCTTCATGCCAGGCAGGCCTTCGATGCTCTCTGGGAGATGAAGGTGGGACGCTCAGAACTGTATTTTTAGTTGACACTGTTTTCAGAGCCGGGATGTTCAATGGGGTTGATGCGCGGCTTCAGCCCGCAACATGCATTCAATTCTCTCAGGTAAAGAACATCTTGATAATCCTTGTTATTACAAATGTAGTACATCGTCCTTCAAACCCCATTCTGATTGTAAAAGACCCTTTCTGAGGGGTTTAAGGTTAGGAGAAAGACCCGAAGGATATTCCGGGTTCGTTTTTCAGAAGCCTGTGGCGTAAAGTAAGCTTCTGCGTGTTCTTGCAACCCAAGAACTCAAAATCAAAGCAGTAGTTTTCAGCTCAGTTTCTCGGGTCTCGGCGACGAAGTTCAGTCTGAACCACGAGATGTCCACCGGACGTGCCAACATCTCAGCTCCAGCATCTGAGCCCTAAGCACCTGTACACGCTCTCGTTATTCACAACAACCAGCTGCGTTTTGCAGCCCCACGGACAAGAGCCCCCGATCCAAAAGCCCTGCACCCGGTTGCAGCCACCAGCCTGACATGAGGCCCTTGGAATGGAATTGAATGCATTCTACTGCTCAGCTGTGCTATCGGCTGGCGCAAAGCAGGGCGATTGGTCTTTCACGCCCCTGAGTCCGCAGTTCTTCTGAGGTTTGTCGCTTTGGGGCTTCGGGCTTCAAGCGGCTTCAAGGTTGCAGGCTTACTTTAGCAAAGCCTTCGGGCTTAGTCCAGGTTTCTGTGCTTGCGCGACATCGGCACCCTGGTTGGAGCTCTACTGTAGAGCAATCCGCAGATGCACACAGCATGCAGCCTAAGTTGCCGTTGTTCGCCTTCGGGTGCAGGGCCTGTGACTTGAGGGCACCTCGCTTCGGCTTCCCTCGAATTCGGACGCAGATCTGGCGGTTTTTTCACCGAGCCACGATCGGGATGGTCATATCCTGACAGATTACAAAAGCCTGCCAGCCGATTGGATCCCCATCGCCACCAAGCCCTCATGCCAGAAGAACCCCAAAGGTTAGAGGTGCTCCACGCGATGCCTTCCCTGGGCGTTGCCCCCAATGTCGCTGAGCTGCTTCGGGCATCAGGGCTGTTGCCCAGAGAACCCAATGCCCCTTAGTTAAGGATCATACCTTAAATCATAATATTAAGGCCCCTATAGTTTAAGGTATATTCCTGAATTAAGGGGTATTGGGCTCTTTGGGTGACGCCGGTCTCAGACGCAGGGGTCAAGAGTTGGGGTGCAGCTCCAGGGATTCATGCTTCCGAAGTTGGAAGCCAAGAACTTCGATGTGCCGTCTTTCATGTTCTGCACGTTGTAAGCTTGGTTTCGGTGTTGTGGACTTCTCTCAGGTCTCAGAGGCGCTTTCTTGGTGGGCCTTTAGCTACAAGATTCAGGGTCTGGGGCTTTCGGGTTTGAAAGCGAAGGAACGAAACTGGGAGGAAGCCAGACCCAGAGCCTTTTTGTTTGCTTTTGGCTGTGCTTTGGATCTGGAGACGCCCTTGCATCTCCGTTGTCTCGGGAGGGGAGTGGGGATGGGACGAGCTGGCCTGGTGTGCCTGGGCCAGCTCCGAGATATATGATTGAGAACACAAGCACGATATATGTGTTGCTGCAAATGCCTGGCTGCTCGAATCTACATGTGTATTCTTCCGTGCGTACATAGATATGTCCATAGACTCAGGGAGAGGATGATGATGGTGGTAGTCCTCGTGCTGGTGGTGAAGATGATGAAGCAAGTTGTTTGAAATCCACTGAAAGGTTTCTGAGTTGGTGAACTTCTGAGGCATGTAAGCATGCAGTGTATGATGCCCTCGTATCAGTGGCAGGGGCGTCAAAGTGCAGTGAGTGGGGTGTTGCCTGTCGGGATCTGGTCTCTGCAGTCTTGCTGCGCATGCACCAGATGTCGGGTTGTTTTCAGATTCAATCTTTCGAGGGGACATGTCACGACCCGTCTTGGGTTTTGAACTCGAGGTTTCGGTCGCTGAGTCTATGGATGCTTGTGTGTGTGTGTGTCTGTGTGTGTGTGTGTGTGTGTGTGTGTGTTTGTGTGCGTCTTTGTTTCTACCTGTGGCATCGGGCAAGGAATTTGCACGGCGCTCGTGCTGTTCGGGGCTGGCTTAGGGGTACAACTCGATTATTTAGCAACATTGATGCTGATCGCGAGATGTTGCGCGCCTCGGTTATGGATAGCAGATTGAAACTCGTAAGTGCGAAGCAACACCCACCAAGGAATTCAGCTACAGCATCGTTCCTCGGCAGAAGTTGGATACTCTTCACACGAGCCGCGCATATCCTTGTCGCAATATACCGTGTATCGGAAGACACCAAGTGTGAGTTTTTGGGTGTTGCATTGAATATTCGTTTGCTGTCGGGCCTCACGCTGTTTTTCAAGCAGAACATGTTCCGCTTGTTGGATGTGCAGGACTATCACACGGTTTCCCATGTAGGATGCAGCTGCGGCAGTTTCAGAACCTCGGCACCGTATGTAAATCCTATAGTGGCGGCAAGCAAGAATCAGTGTTTTCGTTCTGGGCTTTGGTAACGGTATACACGCTTAGGGAACATAGTCCGACTCGGTTTTTGCGATTATTATGACTGCCCTTGCTGTCACTGGTACCCTTGTTGTTGTGAGTCAGGTCACGGGTGTAATTGGTTCTGTTATCACCATGTACACCGTTTAATGTTCAGTCCTTGCCAGTGCGAGGTCACTAGCATTTGGGAACACAGGTTGGGGCTTGCAAGCGTTCGACCTACAGAGGTTCTGAAATTTGGGAAGCAAGTTGAACAAAGGCGCAGGGCACTTCAGGTGCTGAGGATCTACAGGTTACCGGCAATGAAGGTGTCATGTCGTGGGCACAAGCCAGACCCAAAGCCCTGATCTGTAAGCCGAACCAGCACCCCCCAACTACCCTCTATTATACCCTAAATACCCACTTTTAAGGACCACAAGGGCTCTATTAAAGGGTACTTGGGGGGTGTTGGAAAACCCGAAGGCCGAAAGTCTTTCCTTGCAGGCATCATCGGCCTGCCGCAAGGCAGGTCATCTCCAGGAGGCCTGTGGCCTGTGGGCTAGACTTTGCGGCTGCAGAGTGTAGGGGTCTCGGCAGGCATATTTCAACCAGTAACCCTCACCCAATACTCGCACCGGCATTGTACACTGCTGAACTAAACTATGGGTCCGACTGTCCCGCTAGAGCCGCGGAGCTTTGTGAAGCATCCCTGACGTGATCAGAATTCGCAATATAGCAGAACATACCCTCGATTGAAGCAGGTGTTGGATCTGCTGGCAGACATGAAGCGCAGTGAAGTGCAGAGGAATGAGATCAGCTCTTCAGCTTCCCAGAGCTTCTCCCCTTCCTTCTATCGCGCTTTAACTTCGACCCCTGAACCGTTAGGTGGCGTCCGGTTATGAATTCGAGTTCATGCTTTGAAGGTTTGGGGTGGGACTTCCTCCGGCTTGGGGGTTTGGTGTTTGAGGTCTGGCACTCACTAACTGCTTTCACAGCTCTTACGCCATGAGCGTTCTTTCACGGGGTTAACTTTAGGACTTTGGTCTATTGGTGAGTGGCTGGAGTGCATGGACCTAAGGTTTCGGTTCAGTTTCGGATTGGTGTTTCACATGTAGGCTTATCCCAAGCGTTCAAGCCATGAAGCCTAACCCAACTTACACGGCATTCCTAACCGCCCCAACCCTGACCGTACAGGAATGTTCGCTCTTGCTCTCGATAGAGTGAGGACGGGGGTTACGATAAATTCTGCTACTATTTAAGATATTTAAGATACACCAGCAGGTAATCCAACAACGACCATGTGCACATACTACCGGAGCAACGCTTTTCTGGCTTGCGCCAGGGCTCCGTTGTGTTCAGGACAAAGTGGGAAGCTCATGCCCAATATGGTCTTGGGTAGCAGCATGCAGTCTAAACCAGATCCGGGTGAAGCTCGAATCGCTACACTGAATCAGCTGGTTGAGGAATGCTTCGGGAAAGGGTGTGGGTGGATTCTAGCTTACACTGTGAGCAACGGTGCTGAGGTTATGGGTCTGCAATTGCAGCTTGCCGAACGGCATCTGGACTGAAAGTGTTGAAGCATGCCATCCTATAGACCCGATGAGGATTTTGCTCCCAAACCTCTGACAAACGCTGTAAAAATGTCGAGCATTGAACCGCTCGAAACAGGCACATCGGAGGATTTATTATTGTTGTTTGCCTCACGCGCGTTTGTTCCCCGAACCCTGGGAAATGAATTGCCGCCGTAGTAGGAGTAGTTCGACCTGTCGCATGGCATACCGGCACTGCTTGCAGATCTGATCTTCACAGATGAGGAATGTCAAGTCAGCCAGGACACACGGACATGGGAAATCCCCATGGTCCCCCCAAAAAAAACCTTGCAAGAGCCTGCTAAGCACTACACATTGCTCAAGCCCCAAAAGGCTGGAGAACACCGCAAGCTACCTCAGCTAGACGTATAACACGAACTGAAGCCCTAGGCCTGCAACTAGCGGGCACTGATCTCCCAAGGCGGGCGAATGGGAGCAAGCAGTTGCTCTGCTCCAGAGAATGTCGGAGGCTGTTCTGAACAAGCGGAGCATGTCAAGCTCGGTTTCTCACAGAGGATGGAGCGGTACTCCGTTTCTGGGATTTAGGGCAATTCAGGGGTGGTTGGGAGAAAGTTGTTTTGCAGTCCGGAGATTCTGGGTGTACGTAGGCTTAACTCTGGACCGTTGTGTGTTTGGCTGTTGCCTTTCATCCACAGCATCTACCGGATGAGCATGATTTTTTTTGCAGGACAAGCTGTTCCGAAGGGCCGTGCAGCTACAGAGGGTTTCCTATATAGAGGCATACACCCGTTTGTCTTTATGTATTACAGATTAATGCCCACCTGCACGCATGGTAGACACGCAGATAGGTCAATAGCAACCAACACATGCGGCACAGAGGACAAGGGTTGCTCAGCTGAGGAAGACGAGGTGGCCTCCTGGCAGCGATTCCGGGCTTGCCTGCCTCTGCAACAAACGGAAGACAGTAAACCTCCGTCAGCATCGGCGGTATCTGGTCTCGCAGTCTAGATGGTCGCGCCGCCAAATAGGAGTTATTTTCACTTTCCAAGGGACACAGGGACTTCTAGCAGGGCTTGGGGCTTACAATTGGGCTTGTCTTAGGTCCGAAGATGTCCGAAATATGCACTGGGTGTACTTTACAATACAAACCCACCTCAAGGCGCTCCAATTTACGAACCTGAGGCTGCAAATCAGATTTCCTACAGCACCGCTGCGGCGGCCTGCGAGGGTGCAGGGCGGTGGGAGGCGCGGGCGGGCAAAGGCTGTGCCACGGGGTGGCTTCAGGTTCAGGCTTAGGCTTATCCGAGACTATTTTTTGGGGGGAACCCCTATTCTATTCCATTTCGGTGGGGCCGAAGCTCCCAAAGCTGAGCTAGGGTTTAGGATTTATAGGATGCATATAAGGGTTATAGGATTTTTAGTGGATCTATAAGGCTTATAGCACTTATGGGCTAACTGATGGGGTTTGCAGGGTTTCTAGGGCTTAGGGAATATGACGTCGTCCTCTAGGTTGCTTTCTTTGGCCTGAACCAAGGCGAAGCCCCGAACCCGCTTTGCTTTATGAGCCTACGAGGTGGCAGTTGGACTCCTGGCGCAGATGGCTGCGGAGGCGGCCTGTACGTTGGGGTTTCGGCAAGGGGGGGGGGGGGGGGGGGGATGTGGTTGGGGATTTGAGGTTCAGGGAGTGTTTAAGTCCTTAGGGCTTTTAGGATGTTGGATTGAGGGTCTGGGGTTTCTGCTGTTCGATTAACAGCTCAGGGCACTTCTCGTGAGGTTTTGCGCACAGGCCTCGGGTGGGTTTCGGGTTTCGGCAGTTCAACTTTCGGCCATCAAGGCATCGACGATTTCCCACAGGGAGGGCGGCATATCGGACTCGCAAGCCGGAGGTCTGCCGCCCCTAACATAGGCGCAACACGACATCTGAAAAAGGGAAATCCGTCCAGCACTTTTTGCTTGTGGGAAGTTTCTGAAGCTTCTGTCTGACTTGTCCAGCAGGAACTGATCCCGGACGTGATCTCCTTCAGCGCCGTCATCGGCGCTTCTCGAAAGAGTTTTCAGGATTCAGTCCAAGTTACAGTTCAGACCACACGGCGCCTTGTTTCCATCCTTGCTCACTTTGCGCTGGTTCAGATCTTCCCAAAATGAAATCTCCACGATAAACCTTGAAACCAGAACCAACGACCTTCAAGCTCGAAGGCGTAATCAAAGGAAGCCATCCTCAGGGCTTCAACCCTAAGCCCTGAAGCCCTAAGCCCTAAACCCCAAACCCCTAAACCCTAAAACCCCAACCCCTAAAGCCTTGAAGCCCTAAACCCTAGACGCCTAAACCTAAACCCAAACAGCCTCCAGCTCAGGCTTGTGGTTCTTCGGCAGCCTGGGATTCGGCGCTGGTGCCTTCTGACGATAGACCCCGTCTATTGGGCTCCTGTTCATCGTCGCATCATCTCTATGTCCATTTTTGGGCCTGTTTCTATACCTAAGTCTATATCTATCTCTATCTGTATTTATCGGCATATAGCTATATACACACGTAGATCTCTTTATGCACGTATAAAGTAGTATACATGAGCAAATGTGTGTATGTGTGTGTATATATATACAATATATGTATGTGTGTCTGTGTATGTACGCACGTCTGTCTGCAACTTAGGATTTATTTACCCATCCATGCATCTATCCCCTGCACCCACCCATCCATGCACCCAGTCCGTAAGAACAGAACCAGCTGCAAGGTGCCCATTGTTCCGCCCTGCCTCGACACAAAGTCTACGTGTGCCAAAGTCCCCAAAGAAGCCAGCCAGCCTTTGCGCAGGTGCTCCTTGCAGATATGCGGGCTGCGAGTGTCCGGGCCCAAGCTTGAGGCGATGTCAGAACAGCCATCTAACATCCGCATCAGCAATGGCACCAGCATCATCAGAGTCATAGTCATCTTCATCGTCATCTTCATCACCATCATCATGATCATTGTCATAGTCTTATTAGTCTGATTTCATCTTCATGTTTTCAGCAACTTCATTGGCACAGCGACCATCACTATACTTTCAGCATCAGCACCATCATCAACAACATCAGCAACAACAACGACGGCGACCTCATCTCAATCCTCATTCACATCGTCATTACCCTTCTCCTTCTCCCCCTCCTCCTCCCCTCTCCTCCTTCTGCTCCTGCTCCTTCTCCCCTCCTGCTCCTCACCCTCGGTACTGTAGTAGTAGGATTTGCCATATTGTCAAGACTTCGAGTGAGACATAGCGTAAGAGACAGGCACAAATCAAATCCGTACGGAGTACCTGGCTACCCCTAACCACAAGGCGTGTATCCTCCATCGACGGACAGAGATTTGAAGGAATAGATTCGTGGAAGCTTCGGGTAGCACACGGCCTGCAGATTGGGCCCTATTATATATATATATATATATATACATATATATATATATATAGCCCCAATCCAGTAAATCGACCCGCGAATCATGCAACCATGCGAAGAATAAGCCCAAGCCCCTCCATCCCCAACCCTGTAGGCTAAACTCTAAGCTGTGTGCTGAGGTGCGCACAGATGCTGCTGCGGCGGGGGCAGTGCTGGGGGCAGTGGCCAAGGCTTGCCCAATACCCGAGACTTTGTCTTGCATTCCTTGCCTGCATCCCCAGGCTGGCAAGTGGCAGCTGGTTCTCTCCTTGATGGCTTCCATGGAAGCATCGACCCCCGGTGAGGAGAGAAAACAAACGTCTTCTTTCCTGAATGAGATCTTCATGGGCTATGAACATAGACCTGAGGGTACCGGAGTTGAGGGTCCAGAGTATTCTCGAGGGCGCTTGGCATGACATTTGCAAGTTGCTCTCCGATCAAGAGTTTGTGTCTGCGGAGTGTTTAGAGTCTGGCTTTGGCGCTAAGCCGTTCCGTCGCATCTCGCTCATAGTTGGCTCGAAGGATCCTTCAACAAAGCCCCTGCAGAGCTGTCTCTCTTGCACTTCATGTAAGGCGTTCAGGGATTGCACGGAGCGTTACCTAGAGAATGAAAAGGCGACATCCTTAAACCGTATGACATTTAGCCTGAGACCATACAGCAAAACGGGTGTAGGTCTAGGGTTTGTAGGGTTTGGGCTCAACATGCCTGCACCAGCAACCCAGGATGCTCCGTCCTACGGCCGCGAGCCTTTCAGCAGCACTGCTTCTGTCTGCTGCAGCCTCCTCCGTCTTCAGAAATCAGGCATCGTCGAGTACGCAGTTTTGGTATCTCGGCCTTAGGATTTTGGTAGCTTCGGCCTGGAGTCTGTTGGCTGATAAAGCCTAAGATCTGCTGGAATCAATATAGAGTTAAAATTTGGAGCAGAGCGACTTCCCTTGAGTTCAAGGCGCTTAGATCACGACAGCCGTGAAGCCCAAGCTTGCAGCTAGCATGGCTCAGACCGCAACAAAAGTACCCGGAATTCGACCATCCAAAACGCCAACAACACCAAAGGACTGCTCGATTTTTTGTTTGTGTTTGTGGTCTCTCAGTTCAGGCTGCACCGCCTTGATAAGTGCATGCGGGCATCTTGGCCTATCCAGCTGGGTGCGGCCTTCTTTGAGCTACTTGGGGCTCACCTCAATTCAATGCTACCCAGCCTTTCTTGGGTACTGGCGCAAGTAATATTCAAGTTGGCTGAGGTCCTGTCAGCCTGGGGTTTCTAGGACCGAAGCACCGGCCCCAAATGCCCAAACCACCAAGGGACTGCTCTTCAGCCCAGGAGAAACCCTGAACATCCCAAGATGAACGAACCACTAGTTGAGGAGTTTGGGTCTAGGGCCTACTTGGAGGATCATGGGACTTAGTAAGTAAGGTTATAAGTCCTTTAATTGGGGTTATAAGTATAGTTACCCTAATTATAACCTTACTACTAAGTCCCATGATCCTCCAAGTAGGGTGCGGAGCCTTGAGCAAGCCCGAAAGCTAATAGCAAAGCTTGACACTTAGCCTGCCTTCAGCACAGAGCCTCTGATTCCCAAAAGGTGCTTGAGAGTCGAAGCCTCAACACTGCTCTGAACCAAGCTCCACCCCCAAGTGAGGTGATTCTAAAAAACTGTCCTTTGTGATAGGGGGGGATGTGGGGGTGGGTGGCTCCCCATGGTATGGAGCAAATATCTTGAGAATGGCTTTGAGTCTCAGACCGAAGTAAGCTCCCCCAAACTCCAGTTCCTAAACCCATGATGAACATCTAGAGTTTGGGGCTTTGGAAACCCTGAAATCGAATCGACAGCCCTTGAGGCGTGCTTCGGACTGGGCGTCAGGCCTGGCAGCTTTCCGAGAGATGCCATCGAGGTGGCACTGCAGCAGAGTAAACCCTGTACGCTAAATCCTATAACCTTAAATCCTATACCCTAAATCCTAAATCCTAAACCCTAATGAGTTTGTCTTTCAGGGCGGGTCCTGAGCTCCTCCGATGCCCCGCCTCGCACGCACACGCCCTGCAGGCTTGTGCGGCAGGATGTCCTTGCCTACAATGCGGCCGCTTGGACGGCAGTAAGTTTAACCTAGAAAGCTTGAGCTCTCTATAGGGCTTCATCTTGGGTTTGCGCTTGGGGATTATGGCAATTACTGGAGTCCATGGCGTTCAAGCTTGAGATACGAGTACGACTTTTTTCTCGTGCAGTCTGAGGACAGCTCCCGTGACAGCTGCAAAATGTTTCGCAATGTTTCAGCTTTAACTTTATCCTTGCCCGATCAATTCCTTTAAACTGAAACTCCCATCATGTAGAAGCCTGATCAAGGCAGTGATAGTCGGCATCGGCCTAATTCACACAATGCGAGTGAGTAGTAGTCGTAGTCGGTATTGCGCAATAACAATTTAGATGCGCCCAAGGCTATGGACTGCTGTCGTGCCGTCGGACACTGGAAGGAGCGCATGTTCGGTTGTGTTTTTCACGTACAGGTTTGGGGTTGGCGACCTTGGCGGACTTTGGGCATGCAATGAGTTGTGCGGTTTCCAACTTGGGAAGGTCACAGATGTAGTTGGGGGTTTAGAGCTATAGTGACTTTACAAATGCAGGGATGGAAATTCGGGCAGCAATGCCTTCACACTTGCAGACCCTGATAAATCACAACATGGCTTGACGGCAATGGTGTTTGTCCCGCACTACAAACAAAAACGTTCGAGTAATAATCTTCAGAAAGGATTGCGTGTGCTGAGCCCCATCGCGAATGGACAGCCTGCCAATACCGTTATAATGGAATGTAAATCCACAAGTAGCAGGCGGGAACTGGTAATATCCTTAAAGAAAATCTACTCGATATCCCTGTAAAATCTTAAAGTCTCTCAAAGTTGACAAAACTGACACGTAAGTCTTAATACCAGAACCTAATGTCACGGAAACCAGAAGCCCAGACGAACCGAAGACCCTTCAGCACTGCAGACATAAGTGAAGCCCCGAGCCAACCGCAATCCGACCACTGAGCCAAAATAACGCTAAACACCCCCCCCCCATAACACTGAGAGACCGGGTTCACATCGAAGCCACTGATATCCTCTTGTCAGGAGGCGCTGTCGCTCTTTTCGGAGATGTCCATCCTTAGCCTGGAGCCCTCGGCCGGGAGCCGCTTGCTGGCCAAAGAGCTTCGAGATGTTGAGAGATGCGCGCCAGAATCCCTGGAACCCCTGGATGCATCTTGTGCGACTGCCTCATGATTGTAGGTGTAGTGCTGAGTATAAATAAAGGCCACCCCACATCCCTAACACATCGCATCGAGCATTCCCACGCCGTATAGTAGAGGTGAGCCACTATGCTCTTGAAGCTTCAGTTTCAATATCATGGACTCAGCCCCGTTAACGCTTCGAGCCCCTCAAATGCTAACCCAACAACACCATAAAAAGCATCTAAGCCATGGGCAGTTCATGCCTTCACCTTCAGCCCAAACCCAGGTGTCACCACCTTGCTGTCAGTCTGCCGGAGTGGCCGAGCCTGGCAGCAGGCGCGAAGGATGTTCGACAAAGCGTCCGCGGTTCGGACGTTTGTTCGGCAGTATGTACTTACAATCCGTGCACGGATTAGATGTTAGGGTCCACGGCTGTCGGTTGAATGGTTTGAGGGTGAGGGTCAAGAGCTGTACTCGTAGGGAGGCCTGGGCCCGGACTTGGCGGCGGTGGGTCCATGGATGTACTAGCGCTGCTCAGTTTTCAGAGGCTTACAATGGGCATGTCGTGTCTAAGCTGAGGGCCACCCTACACAAGACAACGGTCAGTTACACTCCAAAGACAGTCGAGTGTTCAGGCGTTGGCCCTGGCACCGCTGGCTGTAGCCGACTACGGTCCCTTGAATTAATCCGCAATTGGTTGGGGCGAAGGTTAGGAGCGTCGTTCGTAATTGTACGATGTAGGACAACAACTAGGGTTGTCCTTGAACTACGGTCTCAATGAGCGACTCGCACAGATTCATGTTCGCGGATTTGTTTCCTCACGTTTGCCACTTGAAGCGGAGGGTTTGAAAATGCAGTCCCGGGGTTTGTAGCGACAAAGGTACGTACGTACCCAAGTCGCGAGTCGCGACAGGCCTAGGGTTTTTCAGGTACCATGCAGACTTGCGATGTGACGGGAACGATATGAGACATTCGCCTGCTCGCATTCGTGTTCTGACGGTGAAACACCCTGCAGCCTTGGCTGGCTCTTGAAGCCGAAGCCTGTACTTTCCAGGCCCGAAAGTGTAGGGGTTGGGGAAGCCTTAACAGCCCTATAAGCCTAAACCCCATGAGTTCCGAAGCCGTCAACCCCAAGCCCAAATATTAAATTCTTTCGACCCAAAAAGATCTGCAGAATGCCACACCTAAACCTTATAGCTCTGAGACCCTGGACCGACGCTTGAAACCCCAACTCAAGAGATTCTTGAGCAGAGAAGCTCTAGAGTGTTCGATTCACCGGCCGCTATGGCTGTGACCATTGAGATCTCCCTTCTTAGCGGCCGTCGGGCTGTGGTCCGGGCCCGCTTAGACGACACCTGGCAGTTCTGGGTTTCAGGGCTTCCTGTCTAGCTGTGCTTGGTATTGATAGCATGATTGCAGTGAAGCATGTGTAGTGTTCGTACTATGACGAAATTCGAGAAACTTATACTAACTTCCGCTCGGTGTCTCAAGGGTTTGGGCTAGATGTGGGGTAAACAACTCACAGACGCGGCGAAGGGAACATCCGGCGCGTGGGCCTCATGGTCACAGTTGTTGCATCCCAGAAACACCTCTTGAACAACAGCCACGTGTCTTGCAAACAAGACGTAGTTGAAGAGCACGAAGAATGACAGTACTGGAAATAAGCGCGAGGAATTTGGAGCGCAGTGGCGGGGACAGCAATAGTACGAAGTTTCAGGCGTTCCTTCTCATGGCCACAGGGAGCTGTGAGGTTGTGGGGTTCCTAGACAGCCTTTGCGCCTCCTTCCTCCGAAGTAAGAGGCATCTTAGGCCGTTTGTTGCTTTCTGGAGACTAAGGACACCGTTAATGAGCTTCGGAAAAGTGCTGAGAGGCAGCTGGGACTGGATCTCGGCGTACTGCTCACAGAGGCCTGACAAGGTGAAGTTCAGGGTTTAGAGCCGTATCCGTTAACCCCAGACGTTGAGCTCCAAATTTAAAGCCCCAGCCCCGGACCCCATATGTAAACCCTTCATCACGCCCTATGAAGCGTATCTGACACCCTATCCCTAAAGAGGACGGTCGCGAACTTCTGAGCTTCGGTACCCTCGAGGAAGCTGGGCTATCTGAGGGCGGTCGTGTCAGTGGCACCGTGCGAAGGACTGAGCTGATCTCGGCGCAGCTCCGATGGTAACAAGGGCTTCGGGTTCCTGTGGATCTGCAGGTGTTTTTGGGTTTAGGGGGGTTTAATTGGGGCACAGGGTTTATAGGAGATTAGGGGGAGTGGTGTAGGGCGTCTTGAGCTTCGGATTAGGCTGACTTGCACTTGTACTATTCTGGTTTTCGGGCATCAAATTTTCTTGCGCATGTGCCTCGATGTGCTTCCCATGTAACATAGGAAACCACTTGAAGCATGTAGCTGCTTCTGTTTAGGGTACTCCTTCGGGCTCTGGGATCCAGAGGTGTAGTCTCAGACCACAGAAGAGCGAGGCTTCCTCCGCTGTAGTCTTGGGAGGTTAGCTTGTCCGAGGCTGCCAAGATTTTTGGTGAGGGGCTGCCGGATTTTTCTGTCGACGTTTCACGAACCCAACAGCCCCTACTATAACTCCTATAAGCTTTATTAACGATGTTATGAACGGTCCGGCTCAGGGAACTGTTTTTGCTTTTCCTAGGTACGGCTGCCTCCAGCGCAGCGGGGACGCTTGGCCTCTGGATCTCTTGTGGGAGCTCGAGGCTTGCTCGGGAGTGAGGGTACGAGGCTTTTGAGGGGTTAGCGCTCTGTGGTATGACGGCTACGGAGCTTGAGATTGGTGTGTTGAGTTTATGAATCTAGGGTGTGCAGAGGTTTGGCACTTTGGGTTTAGGGGGATTTATAAATTAGGGGTTACGAGATTTAGGCTTTAGGGTTGCAGGCCTTTGCAGCGCTTCGGCCAGATGGCAGGGTGATCACGTGGGGAGACCCTGGATGCGGTGGTGACAGCAGTCTGGTGCCTCGGTTCCCTCACAGTTTCTTTTGTTTTCCCCTTTGTTTCCATAAAATACATTCCTTCAAAACTGTGAAGAATCGGGTGGAACCTAGGTTCAGGATAGATTGGTCGGAGTGCAAAGCATCAGCGCGGCATCGCGGGCATTTGCAGCTCTTCGCTCAGATGGGGCTGTGGTGACGTGGGGCGATCCCACTTATGGTGGAGACAGCGGGCCTGTGCAGAAGCAGCTGTGTAGGGTCAAAAGCATCCATGCAGCGGCCTACGCTTTTGCGGCTGTCCGAATGGACGGCACTGCAGTCGCCTGGGGCGAACATCGCTACGGTGGAGACTGCAGCGCCGTGCAACATCGGCTCTCAGACGTTGTTGATGTGCGAAACACTGCACATGCTTTCGCCGCTTTACTCGCAAATGGCCGAGTAATTACCTGGGGTGCAACAGCAAGCGGTGGCGACAGCGATGGTGTGCAGGCAGACCTGCGGAATGTAATACGCATTCATGCAACAGTCTTTGCCTTCGCTGCACTGCGTCGTGACGGCTCCGTGGTGACTTGGGGAGAGCCGGAGTATGGGGGCGACAGCCGCACAGTTCAGCATCTTCTAACCGATGTCTGCGAAATCCGTGCTACGGCGCGGGCGTTTGCTGCTGTCCGCAAAGATGGTGTTGTGGTTGCTTGGGGCCACAATCTCTACGGAGGCGGAATCCAAACTTGGACATGAATCGTTTTTGCAGGTAAGAGATTATCATTCAAATTATGTTATGATCTTGAGGCGTCTCGAGTCGCTCGCGTCTTTATGAAGTGTGTCACCGACTTCTTTGGAAAGTCTTCGATGGTGGCAAGCACAAGACACGCTATGCCTAGAAAATAGTGATAGTCTAGTTACAGGCTTTTGACACCCGAAGACATTCATGATCCGTGTCCAAGTGGAAGAGCGGCCAGGTGACTACAGTGCTGTAGCTGGGCATCTTCAAGACGTCCGGCAGCTGCATGCTAGCGCCGCGGCCTTCGCTGCGCTTCGCTGGGATGGGTCGGTGCCTGGAACTGAGTCATACTGCAAATTGAGGGAACTGCTGACATGTGCAAGCCCACAAAACGCGGTCAATAGACCCCAAGATGCTTCTGCCTGCTGGGTTGCCTTGGTTTCTTATGATGGGATCCTAACCATGAACTAGGTTGTCCAAGATAGAGGTATAACTTCCAGGGTCTAGGAAGTCTAGGAAGTATGGTTGCAGATGATTGTTTTGCAAGAACCTCCGGGGACCTTCGCAGCCTGCAGGTGGTTACTTGGGGTGAAGCAGAGTCTGGTGGCACCAGTGCAGCTGTGCAGCATCAGCTTCGCGAGATTCAGCAGATCCACGTTGCCGTGCATGCATTCGCTGCCTGCCGCCTGGATGGCTCCGTTGTGACGTGGGGCGATCCTCGTTGCGGCGGAAGCATGGCTGCATCAGCACGAAATCCGCAAGCCCGCGCCTTCTAAGTACGTACCTACCTACCTACCTACCTACCTACCTACCTACCTACCTACCTGCCTACCTACCTAAGTACCTACCTACCTACCTACCTACCTACCTACCTACCTACCTACAAGGAGACAGCAGCCAAGCGCAGTCGATGCTGAAGGACGTTCAGGACATTTGCGCTGGTGCCTATGCCTTCGCTGCCTTGTGCGCTGATGGCACAGCCACTCGGCACTGACACGCCCACCGCCCACCTAATAGACTCTTGATCATTGGCCCATCAACGAAGAGTTGGTGGGTCCGACATATCCAGCAGAACGCACAGCAGTCACTAAATGTATCTCAATTTAGGACAAAAGGTTTGGCTCTTGGGGCTTTGTTGTATGAAGATTCGTTTCGGGCCAGGGTGTCTCGCTTTTTTGTTCTTGCTGGGGTGGGTTCCTTAGAATCCCGTGCGTTTCGTGCCTGAAATCGGGCTCTCATTTTCAGTTTGCTCTAACCCCTACAATCCCACAGGTGCATTCCTAGGGGAACCCTAAACCCTAAACCCCACAGGTCCATTCCTGGGGGGAGCCAGCATTCGGCGGAGATAGCTCGGCCCTGCAAGAAGAGTTGATCGACATCCAAGACGTGAGCCTTGGCCCACTTTTTGAAGTCCTTCTGGTAACCTCCAAGGCCCTGTATAGAAATAAGTTCAGGGTTTAGGGTCTGGGTTTTGGGTAGTGCATGGCCGTTCAGTTCGAAAGGTTTCGGTGCAAGAAGCCTCTGGGTTCAAGCGAGAGTTGCTGCTTACCCAGAGCCGCTTTGCAAGTCATGGGTGCTGGATGTTCGATCGAGTCCGAAGTGACGATAGACAGTCGAAGAATACTTCGATAGGGTTCCGAGCCGAGGGGTCGAATATAGGGGCCTTTATAATTGCAAATACGATTTTGGTTATAGTAGAATGGGCCCCTATATTATGGTCTCGGGTTGCCCGAAATTCTTGCAGGGTTCAGGCTAAGCCTCTGGTTTTCTACATGCATGCGACGCCCGATCACAGGGGACCATGGCAAGATCAGTTTCGGAAAAGCACGCAATCCGAGAGTCCTGAGCCCTGGACCATATGCTTAGACACCTTTGTCTGCGAAGTTGCAACACGTTTGCGATCTTGCAGAACATGCGGGTGTCAGTTTCCAAATTACTGCAGAATGAAGAGCTCCGACTCCTCAGATTCCATGCATGTTCCTGGCCCCACCTCCATCAAACTCCAAGTTCACAGATGATGAAACGTTGTGGTCTATGACAGCCACACGCTCTGCCTGTTTTGCTCGCTCGTTCTCTCATAGTGTGAGCTTGCTAGCACCAGCCAGCCAAACGCACAAGCTCCTGAAGACTATACAACCCTAGCCCCCCAGGTACCTACTAAACAGGGCCCTAGGGGCTCTAGTACCCTAGGGGTTAGGGCAAGTTGGAGCAAGTTGGAACCTCAAGGTCAGCTATGCAGGAGAACTGAGTTCGATCCCATTTGTAACCCTCCCAAACCACACATAGGACCGAGAAAGTATTGACCTGAAACCCTTATCACTGGACCCTCAATCCCAAACCCGGTACCCCTAACGCCGAAACCTCAAATCCTTAACACTTGAATCCAAAGCTTAGGATGTGTATAAATGAATAAATAGATAAATAAAATGAATGTATATAGATATATACATATATATACATACATATATATGTAAGCCCTGAGCGAGGAAGTCCAGCGCTTGCGCTTTCGCAGCCTTGCGCTTCGGCGGCAAGATGTTAGATTTGACTCTACTTGGGATTCAGGGTCTAAGGCTTAGGTTTTGCGGGTTTGGGGTTTAGGGTTTAGGTTTGTTGCCTTCGGGTTATGCTGCCTTTACACATAGATCTCCTCCGTGAATTGCTGTTCTTGCAAGGGAAGTAGAGATTCAGAATGGTTTCGCGGGGTTGTTACACATGCTGCTGTGGCTGTTCCTGAATCCTCCTAAACCCCCAGCAGTCAACCCAAGGTCTGAACACCCAGCGCACCCCTTCAAGCACGAAGCCACTCAATCCAAATGCAAAGGCCCCCCTTCGCTGGGCCAACAAGACTCTTCAAACAAAGCCAAACAGAATCAACAGCACTAAACCACACTATACTATACTAGGCTATACTATACTCTACTTTACCGTACTATACTATACTAGGAAGGAGAGGTGGAGTCCAAGCCCGAAGCTCCCGCAACCACATCAGGCCCCCAACCTTCTGCAGCTCAGGAGGGCCGATGGCCGTATCTTCACTTGGGGCGATCCCCGCTGCGGTGGCGACATCGATGGACCCCAGTTTGGCAAGGCGCCAGGGCACTTCTGGTTTAATTTTGAGGCAGGGCTCAAGGATTGAAGCCTCAAGGGGCTTGCCGGGTTTAAGACATGAGGGTTTCCCCAAATAGGGGAACCTATAATCTAGTACCCGAAATACTAGGATCCTTATGAGAAGGATCCCAAAATGAGGTATCCTAATTTTCGAAAACTCCCACATGGGGTGCATCGCAGTTAGGCTAGGTTGACTAGATTCTGAAACCCTATAAACCCTGAACCCTAAGAACCCCAAACCCTAAACCCTAAACCCTAAACCTTAAACCTTCAGCCCTCACCCTAAACCCCATAATTAAAATTCTTGGAGCATCAAACCAGGAGCCGGTTCAGCGCTCCCCTTCTGGCCAAGCCTTGCCCGACGCGGCGCGACACAGCCACGCCGCGTTTCACCGAACAGCCTGGGCCTGACAAAAGGCGCAAAAAGCTCTGGCCCTGTAATTATGGGGGGGGGGCCTCAATAATTACCTATACGAATTTGCGGGGGGTTCCTTATTATAATCATCATCATAATACGTAATATGCCGCAAAGTCCTATTCCTCACATTAGTTTGCAAAGGCTTCAGGGGAGAAAGCTTGGGTCGAGAGTTTGGTTTTAATGAGGTTTGGCCCGCTTCGCGGCTGAATGCCTTCAGCACAAAGCCGAGGTTTCAACTCAGCCATCAGCGCTTGCGCGGATGCCGGGAGGCTCCATTCCGGCACTCACAACCTTACGAAGGACCTTAATCATGAAACATTGAAATCCCTTGAAGCCACCATTGTTGGCAACCCGGATTCGCTTCTTTGGTTTTTCTCCTCCGAACGTGCAGACTTGGGTCGCCACTTCGAAGAGGTCCCTAACAGGCCCTAACGGGTTTGCGATTGACTCCGTTGGGCTCGAAATCCTGGATCAGGCTGTTCGCGCCCGCAGTCACTCGTGGGAGATCGCTCTAGTTTAGCCTTCAGGGTTCAGACTGCTTAGCAGCTGCATCGGCTGTAGGATGCAGCATGGCTTCAGTTGAGGGCTGCTCGCCAAGAGTTGGAAGCTTCGCAGACCCAAACCCCCGCCGGGACAGCGGCGACTCCCAGAAACTCAAAGCTCAAGCCGCTGTAAGCCGAAGGCGCTGCGATTTCAGGTCACCCAGCCCGTGTAAACCTCATCACTCTCCAAGCTTATTCAAATCCTGAACCAGTTAGAGCCACTGAAATCTGAGTCCGCAAAGGTGGGAGCATGCCATCTCGCTTTTGCATGACATGGAGCAGCACTCGTTGGTGCAAGGCCAGACAATTCAGGGGCTTCGAAATCGTTGTGTTTGGTGTTTGTAGTGCTGCGGTGAATCTTCTCGATTCCTATAGGGTCGTGTGCCCATCCCCGTCCGCTTTTCGGGACTCCACTGTTGTATTTGTCCCGAAAACAGTGACACAGGAAGTATAGGGCTCATGGTCCCTGGGTTTTCAGGGTTTGGGGGGTGAGGGAAAAGGGTTCAAAGAAATCAGCCCGCGGTGGAAGTTGCCAGGCACGATGAGCTTCAACGCTGCTTTGAATTCGCTTGTCCGCCAGGGAGGACCGCCGATTCCAAATCTAGAGTTAATCGAACTTGAATGCCACAATGAGGGAGGAATCGTTATAAATGGGGATGTAAACATTTGCATTTCCGTGACAGCTCCGGGCTCTACGAAAGGGCCCTCGAGGCAAGATAAGGAAGTTGCGCAGATCGCACAGGGGTTTGCCTTGTCTTTACGGTTCCTCACGAAGTGTCTGGATCGGCAGTTAGCACTTGCTTCTTACAGATCTGCACATAGGGAAATCTCAACATAGAACTATCCCTAACCCCGCTAATATATAGGGTACTGAGCCCCTAGGGCCCTATAGAGTAGGTACCTGGAGGGTAAGGGTATGTCAACGGCGCAGATGATGGTGTCATGTCATGCCAAGAATAGCAACTTGCACACCTGAGAGGCTCAGGCCCAATGTGCGCTAGGTTTCAACCCGGCATTTTTTGGGGGGTCCTTGTTATAAGTATAGTATAAGGGGTCCCCAAAACCGTCTTCTGATTATTAAGGTCCCTATCTTGGTCCTGTGAGAGTCTTCCAAAGTCAACTTGATGGGGTGGTCTGCAGATCCCTGCGACTTGACGTTGTTTTTTGGTTTTTGAAGTCGGAACCGTAGAACGAGTGCTAAAGTGTGCTAAAGTCAGGATAGTGAGACTTCAGCTTGGTTTCATTGTTTGATCACTTGCTGAATACAAGCTCCCGAACCACGTGCACCTTGATTGAGGGACGCACACACACACACATCGCATTCAATCGCCGTACCTTCTGCAAAGCTGTGGGACCAGAGTTGGGGAACGAGTACTTGAGCTGGAATGCTTTGTTTCGTTCTTGGGCCACGACTGGGTTGCGAGATAAAGGAAAGTTGTTTGGAGCAAGCAAGACTTGGGCGTGAGTGCTTGAGCGGTTTCCTGTCCGCCCCAGTCCTCCACGCGCTAGGAAGCCGATCCGCTTCAGGACACCGCTGGGAAACCTCGATCTGCTTCCTTTCGAGGATGGTGCAGACGCCTGCATTTTCATTCAGCGAGCTTGAACTTAGATTCGAGCTTGAACTTAGGTTCCTCAAGCGTCAAAGCATGAAAGTGTTGAGACGTCTGCGAGCAAGCCAAACTCCCAAGCCTTCCGAAGCCAATCACCCGGAGCAGCAAAAGCGGTCTGTTTCTTTTTTGAAGCTTAAGGATCCGACTGCAGCCAGACGAATTCAGCATGAGCCCTTCGATCGCTGCGCTGGGAGTCGCTCGGCAAAGAAGGCAGCGAGGCCTGAGTTGAAGTTGTACTAGGCCGGAGCAGGAGGCTGAGGAGGACGATGACAGATAGCAGTGCCAACAGCAGCAGCAAGACTCGACTCACACTAAGGGCAGCGAGGGCTGGCCCGTGGCCCTCACACTGTTGGGCGGCATGACTACCCGTGGCTTTGTGCCTCGGACTCGTTGGGGGGCTTTAGCACAAGTATAGCCTTCTGGCTCTGTGGGCTTGAGGAAACGTGGTTGTTCCTGCCGAATTCCAGTCTTCCCCGTGCAGCATTAATTACTTAGCTCGATTCGATCCACACTATGATTTGCACTGCCGGCGTGGATCCTAGGCTTTGCTTTGAGGGTTGCTGCATATGGCCGAATACCTTTCTTTCAAGCTCTCAGTCCTGAACTCACCCACTTCTCAAGCGACAGCGCTTTCTTCAAGTCGAAACAAGTCGAAATTGACTTGCCTTCTCAACCCACAGCCCTAAACTTGTAACCCTAAGCTGCCTGTCTTCCAACTCCAAAGCCTAAACTCTCTTGCTTCAGCCCGCAAACCTTCGGCCATGAACCCTGCAACCTCCAAGGCTGAACCCCTTTTTCCCTTCGGAGTAGGGTCCTTCGGCCACAAACGGACCTGAACCCTAACATAGAAGCCTAAAGAGTCAGGAATACTAATACCCTTTTCATCAATCCAGATAGTTATACTATACTCTGTCCCCCAAAACCTTATAGTCCTTGTACAACCAGTAAGGCCCCCCGATCTTGAGCCCTAAATCCCACCAGCTGCTCCGCCTCGCTTCCACGCGAGGAGGCCTCAGCCTTTCCACGCAACGCGGCACTGGCCCGACTGGAGGCCACTCTTGATGGGATTAAGGTCTAAGCCCACGTGAGTTAGTTCGTGTAACCTTACCAAGAGTAACAGCCCTTGAAGCCCGTAAAGCAACGGTGACACAATGAGTTTTCTGCAAAGCCGTCGTGGAACCCGACTGCACGAATGTCAGCTTTGACCTGTTGTTTGAAGGCCTCGTGGTTTACCGATTCGGCCGATTTTTTCCTGTTGGGTCTGGAAGGATGGAAACGCTCAGGGGAAATCAGAGGGTTTAGGGCCTCCACGAAGACATGAATAGTGCCTTCGTGCTTGCAACTTGATGTAGTTTTCATGCAGCCATCAAATGTGCGATTGATGCTTCCGAGCTTGGATTCCTGCGTGGGGCTTACATTGTGCATAAGCCTTTGTTCGCACAACCCTGAACACTATAAACCCTCCATACAACCCTGAACCCTTTTACTCGGGGTATTGCACATGTTGCACACTATGTGGCCTAGAAAACAGTCCTTGGTGACATGCTACACTCTGGATGATCGGAGCTTCCACCTTGTCAAGATTATTGGCCAACCGCGGGTCGCTAGTGTGCCAGGTGGTTGGAGGTCGTTGGCTTCGTAAGTGCATCTTCAGATCTCACGCTCTAAAGCTTGTTGGTATCAGTTGCTGTCGGGCCAAGGCTTGGTAATGCTGAACTCAAAACCTGTGTAACATAGGCTTGACATTCAGTGCTTTCACGGCTCAGAATGAAGCATAGGATTTACCGTCGGAGAGTGTGCAGCAGAATTGCCTTGGAGAGTGGGTTGGAGTCCGGAAATGAACTCCTGATCTGAGGCCCTACAGAACACTCCTCGCCCCAGACTCCCCATTGAGGGTCAACTATGTACAGCCGGCCGAGGATAGCAGTCAGTGGCAGACGGCCACCGACATGCTCGAGGCTGGCTGGCGCAAGAGGCATCGATCGGTTTAGGGTTTAGAGTATATGCTTTTCGACATGTGTTGGTTTATGATTGGAGTAGTAGCATGTTGGCATGCTGAGTCCACGAAGTTTACGATCCGAATGCTCGTGCACGTTGTGGTTGGTGCCGATTACCTGTCGGCCTGCCTCCTCCCAAGCGTAGAAGAAGAACACCAAACAAAAACTCGTGTTGCAGCTCATCAGTTCGCTTGCATCCCCTGCCGGCCTTTGTTCTTGGGCTTTGGGTCTGATGGAATGTGGGTTCAGGGCTTGGCGGGGCGTGGTTGTTGGACGGAAAGCCTTTAAACGGAGTTTCGGTCTTTGGCTGCAGCAGGTATGCAGGGATTGACATATACATGTTTTGATTTACTCACATACACATGAATAGTGCATACATCTATTTTTGGAGGGGAATACCAAACCTTGGATTTTGTCGTCGTTGCTGAGCAAGATGAACTCAGCACTATCACTGGTGGGTTTTGCGGCCAGGAGCTCGCCGGATGTGCTGGCCTGCAATTCTGTCATCAGCTCCCTGGCTTTGTTTGAGGTCAGGGTCAGCAGAGTATGATAGGATTGACTCTCGTTATCGTCATCAACATGACGATGCTCCTCCTCCTGCTCCAGCTGCCGCTCCTGCTGCGCTGCTCGTGCTGCTGCTGCGCCGACTGGGCCTACTCCTGCTGTTGCTGGCTATTTCTTGCCGCTACTGGTGCACCTCCCTGTGACCATATGTATAGAGCCATCATCAAGCCCTTGCTTTCTCCGTCCAGCGCACGACAAGGCAGTTGCAGTCGAGCTGGGGAGGCTCAGCAGGCCAGGAGACTTCTGGACAGGACGCTGGGAACCGGTCGGTCATCTAGTCCATCGTCTTCAGAGCTGCCACCCCAAGTGAGGATGATAAGTGATTCAGACGGTCAAGGATACTGGACGTTATTGATGTGCGAGGTTCGATCCGTTCATGCCTAGTGTCCCTGCTACTTGGATCGTGCATGTAGTGTGTGGTATTGGCCAACCATGATTTATGTAGCGTCCTCACCAAGCAGTAGATCAAAAGCACTGTAACAAAAACTTGACCCAACTGTGTCTTTGAATTCGATCCATGCAAGACCAAAGCGAACCTCCATTTTCAGCCTTCGAAGCATTGTCTGAGTGGCCATGTTGCTGTTCCGCAGGGAACCGAAGCACACGATGTTCTAGAAGCAAAACCATCCGACATTGTCGCAATTCGGGGTCGATGGATGACCAGACCGGTACTCACTCACGGAAGCTTGATTTGTGAAGCTTGTTCCTGAGTTTCTGAAGGCTAACCTCAAGACCCTCAGTCGGGCTCGAACCCACGATGTACGTGTGTCCGCAGTTAGCCATGGTCCATGTCATCGGAAGCTATAGGAAATCTTCGGCAAAAGGTAGGACCGTGCTTGTGCCGAGAGCCAACATTTTTATTGAAGTTCCAAATTCTTCCAGGATGCCAGAGATGCGGCTGGCTCCGGACACCGTCAGCAGCCCAGAACAAGCAGTTTCCTGGATCCGAACCACAAAAGCTCCGAGGAAGTCGGGTAGGCATAAAGAAAGGTTCGGGTTCCCGGTCCAAGATAACCGACGAAACGAATGGCTCTTGTAGCGTTTCGTCGACGCAGGTCAGCGTCAATGCTGCGCTGGCGAGTGCAGACTGGTCTGAGGCAGCTACAGCTGAATTAGCCGAAAGGTCCCGAAGCATTAAGCCCCTCAACAATGCAGGAGCCCAACTAACTCGAACAACGGTATGCACCCTCAGTCTGCATTGTCGAGCTGAGTGACTGCGGCGAACAGGAATGCGTAAACTTGAAGCTCCAGACTGTAAAAGGCTAAAACCAAGAATATGCCATCCCAAACCCCAAGAATTCAGAATACCTCCAACAGAAACTGTCCCTTTTGGGGTTTTGGCGCTCCCGGTCGACCCGACGGATCCGTACCCAGGCACCAGCACGACACGCGAGAGTTTAGTTTCCTGGTTTTTTTTGGAGAGCGCAGCCTCTCTTGAGGCATTTTGGGGGCCCGGATAAGGAGCTTCAATGGCTATTGCTGGAAAGGCGGGACTCATAAAACAAGAACCCCATGTCAGTAGCCGGTTTAGCTAGATCACTGTGAGGGAGCTTCATCGTAAGTTGCCATGGCCGAGTCCGAAAGCCTCCCTTTGCAAGCTTAAGCATAGCTCTAGTTTGCTGTGGTGTGCTGCGGTACATGGGCGTTTTTCCAACTGCGATGTGGGCCGCTGTTCATTGAAAGGACCTAGACACTGTCTTAAGAGCCATCCCCTCATCTGCCAGACATTCCGGCTTGCCTTCGTTTCAGGAGGGCGGCAAGACTTCATGAATTTTCCATGATAATTTCGGGAGCCCGCAGTGGTTTCCCAGGATGTGCGTCGCAAGGTCTCACGGGGGCTCCAGTACGCAAACCTACACTACAGCTGTTATTCGTATGCGTATGGTAGCTGAGTATACATTATAGAGGGACAGACACGGGCACATCTCCGCGCAGCGCTCGAAAACTCATTCATACAGAGGCACAGTCATACATTTCCATGGACTTATTCGATTCGGCTATGGCTACGCCAATGTCAATACCGAAGCTTCAGACTTCTAGGAGCATTTCTTGAAGCTTTCGGTGTCAAGGCTGCGGCAAACAGCAGAGCGAGTAGAAAGGGCCCCGATATCACCGAGTAAGCTCTTGAAGCAGAAATCTGGGACTCAGAATACGGAAATCTGAGGCGCTCGAGCTCCTGTCCTTCATGTCCGACCACGATCTCCAGGTCTTTGGACCTGAGTTTGAGAGTGTAGAAGGGCTGCAAGGTCCGAGGTTCTAGGTACCTGGTTTAAACAATCTTCAAGAATTGGTACGATTATGGGCCGGAGACGGTGATTCAATCCCTACAGGGAGCTGATACAGTGGAGTAGACAAGCCATGCCGAATGCCAGTGCCTAAGTGCTGTTGAAGGGCATTAACCGTACCGGCATCTGCAGCACCGAACAGCTGGGGCACAAAACATCCTGACAGCAGCATGCCATGCACGAAGCTAGCCGGAGCCCTCGTCGCAATTTTGGAAGAATGCGAGGTGGATGCCTTTACGATTAGCACCTCCATCCGCAGCTTGGTCGACATGGCGGGAGGTTTTGCACACCTTGGGTTTTGGTAACGGGTCATCTGTTGAGGGATTTTGGGGGGCTTGGAGCAAAGTCCTCCTGTAATCGTAAAGTTGCCCACCCCCTACCTGCAATGCCAAGTCAAGCATTTGTAGGAAGATGACCAGGCATGTTGGGTTTGTTTTAGAGTCTAGTTTTTGTTTTGAAGGGTGGGGAGTTCTTATGCAGGTTTGTATTGGCGGAGGCTGAGGGTTCTGGATGAGAAAACTTGGAGATCAGAGCCACGGAGGCGCACAAAATTCAAACCCGAGACCTTGAAGCTTGAATGAACCTCCTCGCTGCAACCTCGCTGAAACATTCATGGTGTTTTAGTTGTGAAAATCAGTGACATGACGATGGCTCTAGGATAACCAGGAAGAATATGGGCGTAGACGTGCGCAAGCTTATGCACTTTTGCGGGCGCACCCGCCCATTCATATATACAGCACACGTGCACATCCGCATACGCCGTGACCATGCGGTTTTGAATTATCTATCTGTCTATCTATCTATCCGTCTCTTCAGCTAAAAATTCACTTATCTGTTTACATCTAAACCTACATCCTCGCTCTGTTTTCCCTCTCTCTCTCTCTCTCTGTCTCTCGCTCGCTCGCTCGCTCGAGCTATCCAGAAGCACACGAAAGACACAAGGTGCCTCGGCAGGAGAGCGAGGTCGGCAGCTCTTCCGGGACCTGTCTCAGCGTGGCGTAGAGCTGAACCAGGCCCTGAAAACCTTCAGCAGAAAGGCAGCTTCTGCTGTCTGTTGGAGATCGGGGTCTAGGTCTAGAAAAGCACAAGGATTTAGGTTTAGGATTGAGGTTCTAGGGTTTCTGCTCTAGCATACAGCCTCTCATGCATTGCGACCCTTCTCGGAATCGAATGGGTACGTTCTAGTTACTGTTTGTAGTTGCCTTATCGCGCCATCACCTTACTGTAATGCTTTAGCTGTGTTGTGCCGCCCGTTATTTGACGACTGCTATTGTGCATGCTGTCAGGTTGCATACAATGCCGCAATCGGGGCATCTTGGCTGCAGTACTGTGTAGGAATGCTTTTGCGCTGCTGGAGGGCCATGTCAGTGTTCGCGCTGTTGTGGTAGCACGTATGTAGATGCTGACATCTGCATGCGGCCCCGCAAGCTCACACCTCTACTTGTACAATGCTGTGTTCTTGCACGGAGGAGTGCTTACATTCCGCTGCAGCATGCATGAGCAGAGTGTAAACTGGTGCAGACCGACATATCTCGTGTGTGCACTAGTATGCACATGCCTTGTTGCTTAGAATGTGTTCTGCTTGCAAGACTCGAGCCTGCACATGAAACCCTTTACTGAGACTACCCTGGATACAGTGAGACGTCTCACTCAATGCCTGAAATTTCTGCGATCGAGATTTCGGGCTGTTGGCAAGGGCGTGCCTGTGGAGTTGAGCCAGCTGGCTTTACACCGAAACTCGAACCAAAGAACCCAAGCCTTGAGCTGTTGACGCTCTCTCCCTCGGCCAAACCTCGAAAGCCACAGGCCTGTGCATCCGGCGGGCGCTGGCAGGCGCGGGTTGCTAGGGCCATGCTGCAAATCTGCCCCAGTTTCCTAGAAGTGGAGTTATTCGTGTTTGGACGTCTTCTGTTCCTGATTCCTGAGGGGCTATACTAGGACCGCTGTTCTGCCTTGAAGCTTCCTAATCAGAGTTTAACATGGGGGAGTGGTGGAGGCATGGATGGATGGATGGATCGGATGGATGGATGGATGTCGATGTATGTATGTATGTATGTATGTATGTATGTATGTATGTATGTATGTAATGTATGTATGTATGTATGCATGCATGTATGTATGTATGCATACATCTACATATATATATATATACAGAGAGGGAAACCAGGTAGGCCCCCTCTTGGCTGTTTTACGTGTCACGGAAGTCGGCTTTCCTACGATCCTTGCAAGCCGGCCCGTATGAGAACAGCAGCATTGCTGTACAATTACCGGGTTTCCCCCTCCCCCTCTCTCTCTCTCTCTGTCTGTCTCTCTCTCTCTCTCTCTATATATATATATATGTATATACACATACCCACCCACACACACACACACATGTAATGTATGTATATGTGTGAATGTGAATGTGTCTGTATGTCTGCATATGTATACATACCTGCTTGTTTGCGTATGCAGTATGTGTACAGTGTACATGTATATGCGTATGCTTATTATTATTCATATGTATATGTATGTGTACATATATATATATATATATGTATACACATACATGCATGGATTCATTCCAGGCATGTGGGAGTTTTGGCCTGACTCCAAAGACTTTCTGCAAGACATTGGTCATTGACATCACCGAATCACCTCAGACGCCTTCCTTCCAGGAAGCCGGTTCGCTCCTCCAGGAGATGGATGAGGCACTCAGCCAACTCACCCTGGGTTTAGGGCTTCAGGCTTGCTGAGGTGCGTAGCTCTTCGGAAGTTCGTTTGTATCGAATGTAGGCTTGCCAGCTTCGGGAATCGACCCCGGAGAGCCAGGCCTTCCATGTAGAGGCCAAGGCGACTTGAAACTGGAAGGAGGAGCTTGGAGAAGTTGTGTAGGTCTTGGCATGTAGGCTGTGTCTATACGCGTGTGTGAGAGAGAGAGATTGAGATTGAGATTGAGATTGAGATTGAGATTGAGATTGAGAGTACGGAAGACAAAGAGAGAGAAAGAGAGAGAGAGAGAGAGCGAGAGAGAGAAATCGCGTTGTAGATATCATGCCGAGTAAGCCACTCTGAAGTTGTAGATATCAAAACGAAATAAGCCACCCCAGGACTCGAGACTCCGCCACCTTTCACGTCCCCGCAAAGCCCCATAACATATGGGGGGCCACTAGGCCAGGGGACCTCAACAGTCCCCCATGCCCAATCAAAGAAAGAAAGAAGGAGAAAAAGAGAGAGAGAGAGAGACAGAGAGAGAGAGAGAGAGAGAGAGAGAGAGAGAGTGGGGGGGGGGAAGAAAGAAGAGTGATAGAGACAGACATAAAGATGGTAAATAAGGCCCGTAGAAGACTGGGTTCTTTTAAAGGAATCTGGTTTAAGTTACCACAATAAGGAAACCATACTATTGTTTACTATAGATCCCTATTATGGTAGCTCAAACTAAAAAACCCTAAACCCCTAAACCCTAAACTCTAACCCTAAGTCCTAAACAGTAAACCCTAAACCCTAAATCCCTTAACAAGAACCCAGAAGACCAAGAGCCACTCTGCCCAGGCACCGATGTAGTCGTAGGCATCGTTTTGCCTCCAAGATTTCGATGAGAAAGGCAGCATTTCGACCCATGGGCTGAGAAGAACCTCAATGCAAGGCAAAACGGTTTAGGGTTCAGGGTTTAGGGATTGGGGGTTTAGGGTTCAGGGTTTAGGGTTTGGGGTTCAGGGTCTACGGTTGGTGTAGTATATCGCTCCTGCATCCTATTGCCATGGATTGCCCTTGCTACGTTCTTCGTTTAGGTGCTATGCTCATGAACGATGCTGACATTGCAAAGTTCGCACTCTTGTACATAGATGCACTCACTGTCGTGTCTGGGTACGAGATTTCTGGTGGTTTGACTTTGGTCCTAGATTCTACCGGGTTAGAGTCTTAAAACATGAGACCTCAGACCTTTCGGGGGTTAGGGTTTGAGTGTGACCTTCTGCTTTAACTGCAGGTGGGGGACAGCGCCAGCGGGAAGTTCGGCGCCAGTGGCCTGCGCGTGCGCAGCTGGACCATCTACATCCTATAACCCCAGGCCCTGAAGTCGTATTAGTTTATTGTCGGGGCCATAAATAATAATTAGAGTAGGTTTTTGGGATATATTATGCTATAAGTATAATGATGAGCCTCCATAATAGTACAAGTAATTATTTAAGTCCCTACAACATTGCCTTTGGTGCTGCGGGGTTGAGGATCAAACACTCGAAAACCTAAAAGCCCTATCCAATGGCAAGGGTTTAGGGTTTAGGGTTTAGCGTTTTGGTTTAGGGTTTAGGGTGTAGGGTTCAGGGTTTCGGGTTTAGGGTTCTTGTTAGTGTATAACTACCTTAGTCAAGACTCTCGTCGCTCGCCAGCAGTCTCTTTGCCCTCGACTATAAGTGTATCCCAGCTAAGTCGCCCAGGCCCCAGAACCTCTCAACCCCCCCCATTTTCGGAAACCCTTAACAACTCTTCTGAATACTAACCTACAAAACTACTATCCGTCCCAAGTACATGAATATTAGGTCCGTGGGACCCTTAGGGTTACCAGGAAGCAAAGACCCCTTAAACACTGCTATTAGAGCAGCTGTAGAACCCTGCCAGTACCATGCAAGGTCTGTAAAAATCCTGAAAATACGATGAAAGGCACACGAAAACCCTGTCAACAAACCCTGTCAACAGCAGACCCGAAGCTTCAGTATCAGTGCACCCTCATAAAGCCCTACCAAAAGCCAAGAAAACGGATGCAAAATCCTTGGCAAACCAACAGCAAGCGCTAAAACCTAAACCCGCAACTCTTCAGAACCCTGAACCCTGAACCCTAAACCCTGAACCCTGAACCTTAAACCCTAAAGTCCTAAGAACCCTGAACCTTACACCCTGAACCCTACACCCCGAACCCTACACCCCTAAACCCTAAACCCTACACCCTAAACCCTAAACCCTAAACCCCTAAACCCTAAGCCCTAAACCTCTATTACGCCTAAGAGGCCACCTGGAGCTTCAGTAGCAGAGCCAGGGCTAAGTTGCCACCGGCGCTGTCCCCGGACACCACGATGTCCTTCTCGTCGGTGCTTTGGGTTTGGGAAGCCGGGTTTAGGGTTGAAGGTTTAGGGTTTTGGGGGTTTAGGACTTTAGGGTTTAGGGTTCAGGGTTTAAGGTCTAGGGTTTGGGGGTTTAGGGTTAGGAATTCGGGTTTGGGGTTTGAGGTTTAGGGGTTCTGGGGTGTCGGGCTGCGATGTCCTTCTTTTAGCGCTTTGAATCTGGGAATGGGGGTTTAAGGTGTTGGGGTTTTGGGGTTTAGAGTTTAGGGTTTGGGGTTTAGGGTGTAGGGTTCAGGGTTTAGGTGGTCTTCAGAATCCTGCTTGCCGACGCGAGGCCCAACAAAATCGACCTTACAAACAAGAACAAACCCTGAGGGACAACTAACCCCAAGGGTCCAAAGGACCCAACAATCAGGTACTTAGGTTTCGGATAGTAGTTATTTAGGTTGCCATTTGGGAGAGTATATGATTATTAGGTACTTGGATCCTTAGGGTAAACCCCTACCCCTGCCCCCTCCCCTCTCGAAGAGGCTAGTATGAAACCCGTAATCCCAATCGAGAAACTCGAAGCCCTCTTAACTCTTAGTGCAACCCCAAACCCCCAAAGAACCCAATGGCCCTTAAAGAAGACATATACCTTAAATTTTGGGGTCTGAATATTATGATTTAAGGTATATTCCTCAATGACGGGGTATTGATGGGTTCTCTGGGCCCGCCCTGAACACTATACGCCCTGAGCCTTGAGCCCTGAGCCCCAAGCCCTAGCCGTGAGTGCCCCCAGAACCGTAATAAAAGTCGTAATGCAAAATGGCAATAATAAGAATAATTGTGAAACCATGAGAATAGTAATGATTTTACAAATACAAACACGAATAACAATCATCATAATAGTAGTAATCACAGCCCTAAACCCTAAACCCTAAACCCTAAACCCCAAAAACCCTTTGCTGATGCAAGAGCAGACATATCCTCTCCTTGCCCCGCAGGCCCTGACCCAACAGCCACTGCCAAACCTCGAGCGCCTTGTTCAGGGCTTTGGGTTCTTATAGGGCTCGGGGGCTTTAGGGCTTACGGTTTGGGGTTTGGGGCTTCAGGGTTTTAGGGTTTAGGGTTTAGGGTTTAGGGTTTTAGGGTTTATTGTTCAGGGCTTTGGGTTCTTATAGGGCTCGGGGCTTTAGGGTTTTAAGGGTTCGGAGCTGTAGGAGGATTTCAGGGTTTCTGCTGTAGGGAGTTTTAGGGTTTAAGGATTTCAGGTTTAGGGTTTAGGGCTCCATTAGGGTTTTAGAGATCAGGGCTTTTGGGTGTGTGATAGGGTTTCGGGGGTTTCTGCGCTTCAGGGTGTTGGGCGGTCAAAGACGGTCTTCGGGTTTCAAGGTCTACACAGTACGAAAAACCTACGCACCTTGCCAAGGAAGTCTATATGGAGATTTGGATTGTTAAGTTTGTACTACTCAGGGAGCGGGGGTGGGTTGGGGCGGTGGGAGTTGTTCAGGGCACGAAGGGCGTGAGATGTTGCGGTTGTAAGTGTATTGTAGCGTCGTGCACGTGTTTGCGGCTCCAGGAGAAATTGGCGGCTACAGTCTGTGCATCTCACGCAGGTCTCAAGAATCTGCTCTCGGTACACACTGTCGGGAGCCCAAAACTTAATTTTTCCAAGCCCTAAGTTTTAGAGCCACGGCCACATGTACATATGTACGAACGCATAATATGTATGTTGATTTGTATGTGAATATATGTGCATGTGTATATATCGATATGTATGTGTGTACATATATATATATATATTATATTTATACACACCAGCAGAATCAGATATGTACCTGTATACGTGTAAACATATGTTATATGAACAGCATATGCACGTGGCTCTCTCTCTCTCTCTCTTGCCTCCTCGCCCTGTCTCCCTCTTTCTACCCCAAACCCTAGACCCTAAACCTTGAACCCTAAACCGTCAACCGAAACCCCACGAAACGACCAAAATGCCGGGGGCCGGACATTTTCCAAAGCTGCCGGATAAGGCGCCTCTGTAGCCGAGGCAGGCGAAGGAGCAGGGAGCCAGTAGTAATGAGGTTTAGGGTTTAGGGGTTTAGATGAGTTTAGGGTTTCGGGGTTTAGGGTTTAGGGGTTTAGGGTTTAGGGTTTAGGGGTTTAGGGTTTAGGGTTTAGGGGTTTAGGATTTAGGGTTTAGGGAGTGTCTCCAGATGTCTCCAGAGTAGCCAAGCTGTGGGGTTTGCTGGCATCAATTACTAAACCCAAACCCTAAACCCTAAACCCTAAAAGTCTAAAACCCTAAACCCTAAACCCTAAAACCCTAAAACCCCAAAACCCTAAACCCAAACCCCTACACCCTAACTAAAGAGTCTCGGAAACCACAAACTTCCAAGTCCCCAAAGGCCGAGACATGTACCATGCCGGCAAAAAGCGTATAATGTCGGGGCCTTACCTGCTGAAGGTTTAGGGTTTAGGGTTTAGGGTACTATGTACACAATTTCAGATCCGAAAACTTGCGGCAGGAGTTGGACAATGCATCAACGCGCACAGTTATGGACTCTGGCCTGAGGCTTGTTGCCTGTAGTATTAGATCTCCTTCGCAGCAGTATGGGGCAAGCCGATTTGCTACAGCTGCAGCAACAAAGTCCCATCCAAAAGCTACC